TGCCAAAGAGAAGAAGGAGCTCAAGGCCAAACTAGAGATGGTCCATAGCAAGATGTCTGTGGCTGAGCAACATGACATTTCCTTCTCCTCGACCCCCCCCCCCCCCTCAGTACCGAAAGTGGATGTTGATATGGTTGTCCCCCCTCCTGCCCAAACTGACGCTGCTCTCCCCGCCTGACACTTGGACACCACGGGGTATGAGAAAACGGTGAAGTTCGAGCTTGCCGCTTAGCGTTATGCCGGGGGGTGATATTTTTGATGAGGAGCTGCAGCGGCAGACCAAGAAGGAACGCCTGGGTCACAGGGTCAGGCTTCTGAAGCCTACGCTGCTCAGCAACCAGTTCGTGCTTGACCTTACTAGGGACACCTCTACCAAAGGCTACTACGATGTCGTGGAGGCTGTGATGTTGATTCTTCTTAAGGGCTTCTGGGACCAATTCCGCATGGCCAAGCATACCGAGGATGAGGAGCTGGTGGAGGTCGTCGCCAAACTGACTCGTAATCAAGCCCGAGCTCGAGCCAGGGAACGGGGAGAAAAGCCTGAACATCCCACCCTAGTTGCAGACTCCGATGAGGAAGAGGCCGGGCAGGATGCCATGGAGCACACCCCTCCCCTCTCCTGAACATGTCAATACTTTATGCTTTATTATCTTCTTCTTTACTTGTACATTCCGGTCATTAGTGCTGAAGAATGAAGAAACATCTTTTGCCTCTTTATGTTCCTTGCAGTCACGTTCATTATTATTGTCCTCATTTACACACAAAGTATCCAATGATGATCGTCTTCTATATGCTTTTGCACTCATTTATTTCTACATGCTGCTCAATTTCGTGGACGCTCATTCACTTCCTATGTTCACTTCTACTGTCTTTACCTTAACCACCCGCCAAGTCCATGTGGACGGTCATCTGATATTGGCGTCTGGATCCTCCAAGCCAGTGTCTGGCTCGGATGCCTTCCTAATCATGTTAGGGCCTTGAGTAGTCTGGCTGCAATCTATCCTTGTTAACTGATGCGGGATAGGGTGCTATCCTTGGTGGGACGTTTGTCCTTCTCTGAGGATGGTACGCTCGTCTTGGTGTTCAGGCCCTCCTCGAAGACCAGGTTGTGATATGGTTAAGGACGCACATGTAACACCCCGACCCTCAAGGACCCAAGGTATTTACTCCAAACTCTATTCGGACCACTAGTATTGTCCTCACAACCCGCCACTAGCCTTTTCCGCGCACTTTGTCCTCACTCGTGCGTGCCCTGAGAAACTTCCCAGGGGCACCCATCCCAAGACTACTCCCGTGCAAGCACACTTAACTTTGGAGTTCTTGGTTAATGAGCTCCCTTAAAAGGAGATGCATATTGTTGGTATGAGTAGTACTATTAATCCGTTTAAATTAAATCTCAAGTATTACAGCACAGCCGTCCGTCTTCGCCGGCGTTTTTAAACCTCGAAATCGGGCTAAGCCCAAGGGGACGTTCATCGTCTCCCATGCTGGCCAAGAATCCTTCCTGGGTGCCCCCCAGTTGACACGGAAATCGAAACCGCGTGGACCACCCTTCGCGGGCCACCACGTGTCCTTTCTCCGGTTGGGTGGGCTAGGCGGCACCGCTTATAAGTACCCCTGGTTCCAGGGAACCTACCATAATCTCTCATTCCTGCCGTTACTCTGTCGATTTCTCCTCTTTCTCTACCTATGTAAGTTCTTGGTTTGGATCCTCTTCCCTTTAGACATGTCTGATAACCCAGGTTCCTCGACTTCCTCGAAACCTGACACCATGGAGCTCGCCCAAAGTACCCGGGGCAGCTCGACATCCACATCTGCTCGTCTTGACGATCAGCCAGATGATGGATGCCTGTCCGGGGGTGACCTTAAATTTTATGAACGGGAATGCCCAGCAGGTCCCCTCGTTACTCCATACATTTCCATTGCATTCGGCATCAGTGCCGGTGCTTATTTCGTTGTGACATCAATATGATCAGTCAACTCTTGCTCCCCCGGGCTTGGGACACACGGTTCATTCGTCATCCAATGCGCCATCTGTCTGGTCATGTGGTCGTCCACCTGGACTCGATAATAGCCGACTTAGGTTTCCCCCTGCATCCGTTTCACATTAAACTCTATCGGTTGAGGATAGTCTTACACTATTATTAATAAAAGAAGTAAAAAAAAATCCATTGTATCTATATCCATATATAATATAATAAAGCAAACCCTTGGAGAGTTCTTTGGAGAAAAAATTGACATGTGGCACCATCTTTTGTAGAAAATGACATGTGGGAACACCATTAAACAAAAGCTATTCAACTTCCAAACCCCCACTCATATGTATTCCAATAAAAAATTAGATGAAATTTTATCTGTACTATATGAGAAGTATAAGTTAGGTGTATTATACGTATATATTTATGTGTCACAATGTTGTGTAAATTTAAGCAAAAATATGCACTTGACAATAGCACAAAAATTGAAAATACTCAAAAATAAAAAACAAAAAACAAATTTTAGCCTCTTAAAATAAAAAACATTCCTCTCATGCTTCATTGCCAACAAAATCTTACGAGTTTTAAAGGTTACCCCGCGGGTCAATGTAAAAAATACACATGAAAAAGATCTTGAATATAAGTACTTTGAAATAAGAATGCTATGAAACGATGCACATAATGATTAATGGAAGTGCACACTAATAATTAAAACAATGTGTACTTTAAATTGGCAGAAAAGGTAAAACTTATCTACAAAATGCCACCTCATTGTGTGATTTATGGTAGTGCACATTTCTATGTCACATAATCAACAACTCTGAAATTTAACGCTCCAAATTAATTCTCATTTTCCTTCCGAGGTCATGTTCTCATTTGATCCAGATTATATAGTAGTGTGTGTCTGTGTGTATGGGTAAGCAAAAGCCGTCTAATGAATTTGGAGGTCCCGATTCCAAGCGTAAGATCGAGACCCCACGTTAATATAAAAAAACAATCTAAATACTCATAGTCAAATCAATTGAATACTCATTAAATAATGTAATAAAAAAAATTCTAAAAGGTACTTTATACTTAATTTAAAGGAACACGTCTCTTTACTCAAGCAACTTGAATAAAAGAGAACTGAAAATACCGACGAAAAAAATGATGAATCTGTATTTTTCTTTCTTACTCACTATAAATTGAGTTCTCTTTTAAATTTGGATTGATTGAATTCATATAAATTGAATTCATATCTTAGGAGACGTTTACTTTGCTGCTAAAGTCACAGTTAGGTTAGTAACACAAGTGAAGTAAACACGCAAACTGCTTAAAAAGCCACTTACTAACCGAAAGAGGTGCTTAAAGTCTCACTCACTAAGCAACCACCCCATGTATCAATCAAGCGGCACTTTAAGCTTTTTCGGTTTCTGAATTTACTCTTACCCTTACCCTCTACCCTACCCCCACCCTACCCCCTAACACTACCTTATCCTGACCCACCCACCCCTTTTACCCTAGCCCTTACCACCCCACCCTGGCCCCACCGCCCTTTTACCTCTACCATACCCCACCCCATTTGTACCCCTTACCCTTTTACCCCTACCACCTGCCCCTACCTCGATCCCGACCCTAACCCTACCCCCACTACCCCCTTCTGACCATACCTTACCCTACCTCGACCATACCCCTTTACCCCTACCACTTGCCCCTACCTCGACCCACCCTGACCCGACCATACCCCATACCCTACCTCGGCCCTACCCCCTACCACCTGCCCTAACCCCCACCTCGTACCCTACCCATAGCCGTTACCACCCCTACCCCTACCACCTGCCCCTACCTCGACCCCACCCCATCATCTCTACCCCCTTACCCCTACCCGTGCTCCTACCCCTACCCCACCCTACACCCTCCCCTACCCCTAGCCCCCACTTGTACCCCTTACCTCGACCCTACCCTTTACCCTCTACCACCTGTCCCTACCTCGACCCTGACCCCGACCCCACCCCACTACCACTTCTGGCCATACCTTACCCTACCCGACCTACCCCTTTACCCCCTACCACATGCCCCTACCTCGACCTGTAACACCCCGGCCCCGTAGCCCCCGAGGTAGTTACTTCTGACCTCTAGTAGTGTCCTCACAAACCGCCACTAGCCTTTTCCGCGCACTTTGTCCTCACTCGTGCGCGCCCTGAGAAACTTCTCAGGGGGTCACCCATCCCAAGACTACTCCCGTGCAAGCACACTTAACTTTGGAGTTTTTGGCTAATGAGCTCCATTAAAAGGAGATGCACCTTGTTGGTATGAGTAGTACTATTAATTCTCTTAAATTAATCTCGGGCATTACACGACCCCACCCTGACCCGACCTTACCCTACCTCGGCCCTACCCCCTACCACCTGCCCTAACCCCAGCAACCCACCCCTTACCGAACCATACCCCTACCACCTGCCCCTACCTCGACCCCACCCCGACCCTGGACCCTCCCATCATCCCTACCCCACCCCTACCCGTGCTCATACCCCTACCTTACATGCTACCCCTACCTAGGGGTAGGGGGTACAAGGGGGGTTAGGGGTACGAGGGTTTGGTGTAGGGTCAGGGTATGGGGTAAAGGGGTAGGGTCAGGGTAGGGTTAGGGGTCAGGGGTGGGTAGAGGTATGGGTACGCGTACGAGGTGACGCCCACGTATTATATTACTACCCCCGTCCCACTAAGATTGAGACAAGAGAATGTGCACGATTATTAAGAAAAGTGAGGTTGTGTGATTGATACTAAATTGATACAGTAAGAATAAAATAAAAATAATTTAGAACCACACAAACTTTATCAAAATTGATATGAGACAATCTTAGTGAGATTTCTCGAAAAGTTAAAATGGGACAATCTTAACGGGACGGAGAGAACATATACTTGTATTCATGTATGTTTCTATATCTATATGTATAAAGTTATTTTTGACATTTTAACTTTAAAAGGTGTTTCAAATACTGTGTAAGGCTAGACACTACTGCTAGTACGAGTACTTCAATAGTTGTATCCGTATTTAAGAGTAATTTCAAAGAATAAACAGCCAAATCTCACCCAAAAATGGCGGCTTGTGGTTCGAGCTCTTCCTGCACTCTTCCCCTTTCTCCTTCCAACTCTGCTCAAACCCGGGTTTACCACAAGCATATTTTTCTCCATAGACCCGTCCACGGCACAGTTTTACCACTTGCCACCGTGTACAAATGCAATTCGGTCATCATCAATAGCACTAAGCGTTCCTTGCCCAGAGCTGCCTTCACTCCGAAAGGCTCTGCCCCCAAAGTACTTTCTCATTGATATATTTGCTATGCTAGTTTCATCATCAATCGTCAATACCCAGTGTTAATTTTATTTTCTTTTTGATATTTTGTTTTTTTTCCTTCCAATTCATTCTTCATCATCTAGTGTGAATATCTGTTTTTTTATTCTCTACAAATTTTAGAGGTTCATTAGCATTTAGCTAGAACCATTCTGTTGGAAGTTTTTGAGAGGATCAAGTAAATACTTTGTTTATATTGGATTTCACACATCCTTTCATTAGCCAGTCATGGTTAGGCTTCTACTTAGGTGAACTTTGATGAATGGTCACTATTTCCAATCTTCATGTTATAAGGTTATGAATAGAGAAAATTGCTCTGTATAGTACACTAGAGGTATAATACTAAAACTTAGTTTAAAAAATAGGACTACCTCAAGTTTTATTCCTGGAGTAGGATCTATGTGATCCTTAATTTGAAAAAAATAGTAATTTAGACTGAAATACCCTTAGGGTTTAACATTACTGTTTAGGCTTTAGCTCTTAGGGTTGGTGGTGGCCGCAGGTCCAGCCAGTGCGGGTGACTGCCCGGCGTTCTGTGGTGGTCTGAATGCGAAGGTGGTGGCCGTCTGGTGGAGGTTTCTCTCTGGCCATGGAACTATGAAAGGTTTACAATAAAAGGGTATTTTGGGTAATCTAATATTGTTTAGTCATATTTTTATTTGTAGTCCTATTTAAGGAAAAATGACATGTTCTGCTTCAACTCGAGGACATATTCCTTTTGGATACTCGTTTTTATGATTACGTAGTTATCTGATCTGTAATAAACAAGTTCCATTCTCTTGTTCAGCCCCCTTTCCTCCTAACCTTTGGCTTTCTTTATTTTCCCCATTTGAATTTTTGAACTACTACTTGGTGCAGCAATATTACATTATTACGCTAAGAATGTGTTTGGTTGGGGGAATTTTGCAGGGCAGAAAAGGAGAGAAGTGTTTTTCTTTTAATTTATTTCCACATTTAGATGGTTGAACAAAAGTGCAAATGAAAAATTATATAGAAATCATTTGTTATAGTCTAAGACTCATAAATAAAGATATATATCAGTAAAATAAAAATCAATCATCCCCTTCCCTTGAAAATCCCCCAGCTAAAGGGAACCTTTTAACCTTTATGTGTAATAAAACATGAAATTGGAATAATGTCTTATAAGTTCTATAATAGCATATAAGGATTTGTGGAACTAAATTATCTTATTCTTTGATATCCTTAACACTGGCTTATCAGTGTGATGTAAATGATCTCTGGCAGACAAACAGTAATGAAGCAGATGAGAAAAACTCTACCAGTTTAACATCCCTTGTGCAAGTTTACAAAGTGGCACTTTTTAATGGAGATATAAAAGGGGTGTCAAAAGTTGAGGCTATGATGTGCCAGATCGAAAAGGAGAAAACTACGTTGGCTGAGAGGGTGTCTGCTTTGTCTGATGAAATTAAATCGGAGAAGGCAAAATATATGCGGTTGCAAGCAGATTTTGAAAATTTCAGAAAAAGATCCGATAAGGAGAAATCAACAATTAGAAGTGATAGCCAGGCAGAAATAATTGAGAACCTCTTGCCAATTGTGGACACTTTTGAGAGTGCTAAGCAACAGATTAAGCTAGAAACAGAGAGGGAGAAAAACATAGACAAAAGTTACCAGGGTATATACAAGCAATTTGTAGAAATAATGAGGAGTTTGCAAGTCACTGTAGTGCCCACTGTTGGCAAGCCATTTGATCCATCAGTAAGATAACCCTCCTCAAATATTTTTCCAAATTGCATTTCTTTTATTTGTTTTTCCTAGTATTTATCTTCTCCCGGGTTTGGACCGAAATGGCTAATGTTAGCATTGCCTAATGCTATAACGTAATACACAATATGTTTCAGTATTCCATAAATATGATCACATTGTAGCCAATCTTGATTAGAGTAAAGATTTTGAAATTACCAGATCACCCTTGTAGCAAACCTTCATGACTTTCTTTGTAGTGATTTTCTAGAGCTCAGGATAGAGTAATTGTACACTTATCATGTATATACTATGACTAACTGGATGGTAACTGTAGAGACATTGTTGAGCTAGATATATTCATTATACTGATGATGTAACAGAAGTACTATGGAGTCATATCCTGACTATACTCTTGCAAAGGACAAAAATGTTCAAATAGTTAACTTCCTTTTTAGGAGTCATATACTTCTAAAAAGGGAATAATGTAGAAGTGCTCTGATGAAAGGAAATTGACAATGTTTTGACCATGTTTATACGAAAATTTCACTTGATCAAATCATTGACGAGCTTCTTCATGTTTGAGGAATACCAAATTTTACTTGACAATCATGGCGTCAACTCTCATATGATGGATCCTCATTTCGATAATTCTTTCTCTTTTTCCAGCTACATGAAGCTATTGCTCGAGAAGAATCTAACGAGTTTTGGGAGGGAGTAATAACTCAAGAATACCGGCGTGGATTTAGGCTTGGAAATCGACTATTGAGACCAGCCGTTGTTAAGGTTTCATCTGGCTCTGGTAATAGGAAACGCTGGCCAGTCCCACAGAAATCTGTTGTGCAGCCGGGAGCAACTGATGGAACTCATGGCTGATGCTGCTAATCCTGCTATGACTTGATAATCATAATATTCAAAAATATCTTTCCTGATAGGCCCAACTTCCCAGTGTGACACTATTTTGGCGAATATGCCACTGCTAGTTTGCAGTTTTAAACTTCTGTTATACTTCTGTTATACCCGCACGAGTAGCTCAGTTGGTCGAGTGGTGGGAGATTTGGATCAATGGATCAAGGTTCGAATCCCCGCAGCGACCGGGTGAAGGTCACAAAACCTGAAATAAGGCTGGGCCTTTGGTGCGCACGGGTGTATGTGCCTACTGTCATTCTGTTGACTGAGTCGCCGTGAAAATATATATACTTTATGTTGGTTATAATTTTTAATTTCATTTTTAATTATTTACTTATTTGAAGCTTACTAATTTACTAATAGGTGTCAAATTAATAAGTAAACTAATTTGCATATTTGTTTCTATTTAATTCGGTGTAGTAAACTAATATAAATTAGTTTTCATATCAATAAACGTTATTAGAATTTCACTTTGATAACCAAAAATTATTTTACTTATTTGAAGCTTACCAAATTAATTAAGGTGGATTTATAAGGATTTTTGTTTCCATATCAATATGCAATCAAAAATAGAATCTAATAAAAACAAAAGGTATAAAAATAAGTAAGTAATTGTTATATATAATGACATGGCGCTTTGTATGCTCTTAAAAAGTTCCTCTTATATATATATATTGATATGAGTTTTCTGGTCATGTGAATAAGAATTGCAATTAGCCTTAATCTCACTCTTAAAAAGTTCCTCTTATATATATATATATATTGATATGAGTTTTCTGATCATGTGAATAAGAATTGCAATTAGCCTTAATCTCACTCTTATATATAATGACATGGCGCTTTGTATGCTCTTAAAAAGTTCCTCTTATATATATATATTGATATGAGTTTTCTGGTCATGTGAATAAGAATTGCAACTAGCCTTAATCTCACTCTTACGGAAGGCAATAAATAAGATTTGAAGAGTGTAAGGTTTAATCCGACAACTTATATTTAGTAAATTAGTTAATGAGGGTGTTGAGTCTATTTCATAAAATTCAAGCAAATAGTTGAGTGTTTGCAAATACTGCATACATATTTCTAAGTGCTCTGAATTATAAATTACTCATGAAAGCAGTTTTTAGAAGTGAGAGAAAACTGCTTTTGATTATATTTTTAAAAATGAAGTAGAATCACTTTCAAACATCATATACTCCATCCGTCCCAATTTATTTAGCCATCTTTGACTTTTCCGGTCAAAGATGGTAAACTTTGACCAATTATTTTAACTAGAATATTTATGCAAAATTTAATAATTTTATACTTTTATGATTGTGTTTTTAACAAAAAATGTTTTCATATCATTTTCATATTATCAATATTTTTTCTATATAAACATATAATCGGTCAAAGATACATGTCATTGACTTCAAAAGTCAAGTTTGACTAACTAAAATGGAAGGAGGGAGTAGCACATTAAAAACAATACAAAAAGCCTCAATTGATAAGATAATATTTGATGACTTTTTTTTAATCAAAATTGTTATGTTTTGAGCATCTTTTATGACTAGATTCTTTTGATATTTCAATGTGTTTGTTATGGATAAATGAGATAAGTCGATTTATATTCATGATTTTATATAAATAAAATAATAATAAAGTTGTATAAATATCATTACTTGAATTTACAAAGCTATCAATAAACACTATCTAGGAAGTTTTTTTTTTTTGTGTATGATTAAAAAGTTATGCGGTGAATCTTAAGATGAATGGCGTTTTTTTTTATCTAATGTAAGGTGGACCGTTCACAATTCTGTTGGAAACTTAATTAGTATAAATTTGATGCTAAAGTTTATTCTTTTTTCAAAAATGCCAAAATTTATTCAATAGTACAGCTTTTAAAAATAAGCTCGGATTCCTCAAAAAAAGAAAAAAAAGTACATATTGATTCTGCTTCTACTTATTTTTTCAAAAGTATAACTAGAATCAAAATCAATTTTTCAGAAGCTGGTCCGTTTCCCATAGCTTATAAACTGCTCATAGTAGCAATTTGGAGCATTCAGAAGCACTTCTGCATTTTCATTTCATTCTAAAGAGGCATAAACAATTATAAAAAGTAGATCCAAACACTATTAAAAACACATTTTACTTTCAAATGAAAAAGTTATTTAAATAAACACTATAAATATGAAAAGTTTCAATTTCATGTGTTATTTCCAAATAATTAATAAATATTCATATAACTATTTAGCTTAACAGGGACAACTATACAATTTTCACAAAAAACTTTATCAATTAAGAAAATGAATTTTATACTTTTATAAAAGTACTGTTAAAAAAGAACGTTTTTATATACTCGTAATTTTTATATCATAAATAATGACAAAAATATACGGAGTACAAGATAAAAGTTGTACAATCATACTTGTACAACTATACAAGATGCACGGTTGTATAAAAACATACGGAATACAAGATGTTTATTTGAAGTTTTGAACCTTCTTTTCAAGTTTTGAACAACGCAAGGAAATCCCAGGTGTTATTGTTTTATTTTTTCTTTTTCTGCGGGAAGAGATAGCTCGTTGCCGGAGGCAAAAACCTTCTCTGGAGCTTGACTACTCCGATGGATACACTTATAAAGGTGTGACTTTTAAATCTCTTACGGAGTATTATTTTCCACTCGGCTGTATTTGTTACAGCCAAGGCTTAACTTGACATGCTATGTCCGGGTCCGCGAGGAGTCGGTTTCGTGTCTGCATACAATTTTGGAGTTCCTGTGAAAAAGTTTTAGGAATGATTTTAGATTTTATGTGTACTATTGGTGAAATGTAACTCCTGAAGAAACTAGGAAATTCGGCATTCTTCTCTTCTAATTCAAACGTAATGTTTCTACTATTGTAGCTTGACACAGCAGTACTGCAGCATCAAAATCAAAAGCTTTCACAAAAGTTGGAAGTTCAGAAGATTGAGATTGCTGGACTTGAAGATAAACTTACCAAACAAAGGGAAAAACAACAGCCATATGATAGTACTTTGGAATTAGTCCAAAAATCATGGAGTGAGGTATGCACTTGCCATGTTTATGGTTCTGCATGATGTGAAATGGTGTGCATTAAGATTCAAATGTATACTGTGCGTTGCTCAATTTTACATCTTTCTGGATGACCTTTCTGATTTTTTCTTTTCACTAGCTGGTTGATGAGCTGAAAACACGCTCAATTCGCTTAAAGGATTTCTCAATTGACCTAGAGGCTTTGATGGATTGTAAAGAGCATTTCAATCAAGAAGGTTAAGTCAGAATACTTTATTTTTAATTTTTTATTTTACTTTAGAAGCATTGTATTAGAGGGGGCAGAAGTGCCATCATACGACACTTGGATGATTTTAACCTCCATCTTGTGATCTAGAGGAAGTAAAGAAAATGAAAGAAGAATTCTAAAAACGTTATACCCTCTTGAATTTCAGGCCATCTATCACAATTTTTCATTGCTTTCCTACTTTTCTAGTTTTCTTAACCAATTCGCCTTGTCCTTCCTTCTTAACTTCTTCGCCTTCTTGTTTCAGCAGTATATAAACTCATGGTATTTCTAGTGCACATAAAATCATGATGACAAGATCAGAAGATTGGTTGAACTTTTAGTGCACCGTGCACCTGAGATTTCAGTAGCCCAGTGTTACACATCCATTCCTAGACTTTTTTCTTTATTGTTCTTTTCCCAGCCATATGCTATTGAGTTCCTATATTTTCTGTTTCTTATCAGTTTTTGCTTCTTTTAGATTAGTCTTTTAGAACTTTCTTCAAATTGTCATTGAGTCAGAAAAGTGTTCATAGCACTATATTTTTAAATAGGTTTAGTAGACTATGATGACAGTCAGGACATGTTCATTTTGAAGTAGGTACCATTTCATCATTCAGAATACTATCGATTGTTTGACATGAGTGAATATCATTGTCATAGTAGTTTAAGCCTGTTCAATACGGATATGTTCTTTTATTTTCACTAGGTGGTTATTCACCTGCTGGCGGTAAAGCATTAGTGAATGCTCTACTACAAGTAGATCCAAATGATGGCACCATGGAAGACAAGAAAACAGATTTTGATGACAAGGTGATGGACTTAGTGTCTAATGCAGTTGCAGCTGTTGATAGTCTCTGGCATATAAAGGATAGATTGTATACTGCACTTCTTAAGTCACTTTCAGATAATGGTACAATGCATAGTTGCGTGTGACCTAACTTAACTCTGAAGTGATTATGATCACTTAATTACATCATCATTTGATCTTGTTAAATATATACATACATACATACACACATATAGGGAGCGGTTCCGGTAAGAACGGACTCCCAGGGGAGAAATAAGAACGAATCTGAACCGTTGGATTGTATTATGTGGAACGGAAATGTGCATTTGATGAAACTGAAATGTGTATTACATGATACTGAAATGTGCAGAATAAAAATTTAAACTCAATTGTGCATTAGGTGAAACTGAAATGTGCGGAATAAAATGTACAAAAATAACATCACATCGTACATTTTATTCTGCACATTTCAGTTTCACCTAATGCACATTTCAATGTCACCTAATGCACAATTCAGCTTCATTTAATGACATTGTATCATACGCTTTGTGTTGCACATTTCAATTTCACCTAATGCACATTACAATTTAATCTAATGCACATTGAATTTCACTTAAAGCAAATCTAACGGTCCAAATTCGTTCTCATTTCTCTCCCAAGATCATGTTCTTATTTGAACCAAAACCTATATATATAATATAAATATATATAATATAATTATATATACACTTGCCTTTATTTTTTATCAGAATCCTCCCCTGCAGAAGCATCCCATGATTTGCTTAAAAACGTGAAAAACCTAAGACAAGCTGTAAATGAACTTCATGTGAAGCACAGAACATTGGCAAGTGCATTGCAGAGTCGTAGAGACGCTGATGCAAAGAATGAAGCTGAGCTCAAGTGTTTACGAGGTATTTTTTCCTCAATAATCTTTGTTGTCCTTAAAAACTACACTAAATATCAGCTTTACTGCCACACAATGTTCTTAACCCTTCCATCTTCACTTATTCAAAACTTTTTGAACGAGCATTTTAAGCCAACAATCTTTCCAAATTCAAAGTGCAGCTCATGTCAATTGTGCCTCTGCTCTGCTGCTTGCTAAAGCATCTTATTTTATTTTTACTTCTCCATGCTGCTACAATTCCCTGAACAAATGTACAATACATGATGTCAATCTTCAATCATCTACTGAGCCTGCCCAATCTGTGTCAATGTAGAGGGAAAAGTCATTTCTCTCGATTCCTCATAAAGAACAATCCTACTCCATCCCACATGGATGTAACTCAATAATCTTGCTGACGTTATGAATTTGATCGGTTAGGAAAGAAAGCCAAAAAAAGAAAAACTTGTTAGATAAAAGGGGGCTACCTATGTATGTACGTGATTTTGTCTTTGTTTGTTTTAGTGAAGTGCTTGTTTTGCTAACAAAGAAAAATGCGGAGAGTCTTTTAGATGCCTTGAGATCCTGTAAACTGCTTATAACTTGTAAGTGGGCTTCAGAGGGAGAGTGCATAAATGGACTTGCACAGCTTACTGCAAAGATATATCCAGTCTATTGTATAGATGAGCTTGCCCATTAGTTACTGGTATTTTCTTTTATCCACCAGAGTGTCATCTGGTTTTGCATCAGTTTCGCATAAACATATGTTTGAGTGTCAACAACTTTAGCACCTAAGAGGATTACATTTCTGTGTATTTGAAGTCCAGTGTACTTCCTTTGTGAACTGTGGTACTGAAATTCCCGCTTGATTCCTGGCCACCTCCACAGTAAGAAGAATCACATGTCTCCTTAAACATTTAAATCAAATTCAACGGTAAGTACAAAATCATCAACATAAAGAATGAGAATAGTGGCACTATTGCCTCTTGTAGAATCAAAGTCGAGTACCAAAAGTGTGAGTGACATAGTAGTCGGAGGACTAAAAGTGGGAAAAACTCTTGGCGTGATGATAGCTAATGTTATCAAAAACGCAATTTTAGTCGTAAAATTGTACGATTTTACGATTCAAACTCACTAAACGGTCTAAATCGATTCAAATCGTGTACAAAATCGGAATTACTAAAAAACATAAAAAATCATTTAAAATCACAAAAATCATTCAAAATCGCAATTAAATACGATTTAATGATGTTAAAATTTGTGTTTAGCACGCACCAAACTCGGCCGAATTCCTCACGCTAGCAAGGCAAATCAAATACCTGCTGCCTACTGAGAGTTTTCAAGAACCGAGCTTTTTATATAGGCAAGGGAGGGGGAAATTTTCTCTGATATTCCGGTGTGGGAACATGGGATATCAGAAGAATAAATAATTTTTATAAAAAGAAAATACGTCTGCGTTGGGTTTCGAACCCACGCCCAAATCGCTAAAACACTTTAGTCTTCTATGCTTAACCAACTAGCCACTTGCAACCATGCGTTGCATGTGTAACTATTAATATATGTTCAATGTTTTACGGAATTCACACCATTATTTACATATTCTTGCCAAGTTTCTATTCATATATAAACATACAAATACTTAAATAGTCTCGCCATTCATATATTTATTGTATTTCCATCATTTTCAATGGAGCGAAAGACTCACTATTTTTTGGCTTGGGAATATGATGGAATAAAGAAAAGTGGCTCACTAAACTGTCTGCGCTTCTTTGGTATGAAGTAACAGTCAGTCTATGCAATTTTCGACGCGATTTTCACTTGGGTCATTCGGAAATAGTCTCTTTGTGCTTTTAGTACAGGGGTAAGACTGCGTACATCGACCCCCCTTACCCCACCGTAGGTGGGAGCCTTTGCGGCACTGGGGTAATGATGAAGATGATTCATATATTTATTGTGAAATTTGATTAAAACATCATTTTTATTGTTTGTGTGGCTTTCATTCTTTAATTACATAATATATTTTGTTATTAATTATTTTGTGCATTTTAACTAAGGTCTCATTGTAAGACAACTTATAATGGTTTATCTCAATAATGTTAATTTTTGAGTTTCCATTTATCTAATATTTTTTAGTTAATTATTTTATAAAATCTTATGATTTATGATTAGATTTTCCGATTCAATTTTTAAATACTTGTATCGATTCGATTTTTAAATACTTGTATCGATTGAACCAAAAAATACGATTTTAACAACCTTGATGATAGCGCAGACCTACCAGCGATGTCGTAGCTAGGAATGTGATGCAGGGCGATTTTATTCTTTCCCATTGTATTAGCATTACATCTCTTTTTATTTAGTATTACCTCCGTCCCTTAAAACTTTGCCAAAATTGACCGGCACGGAGAATAATAAAGTAAAAACTGTGTGGTTGAGGTTTGTGCAGAGGAGAGAGAAATAACAGAAACCACAAAATAATTGATTAAAAGGGAAAGTGGCAATGTTTTTTGGGACGTCCCAAAAAGGAAAGATGACAAAGTTTTAAGGGACGGAGGGAGTATGTCTTTAATTACAATAGTTGTATTTGGCTTGAACTCTCTTTCCTGTCCTGACAAGGACCCTTCCCATTACTATTTATCGGGCTTATTGTTGGAACAATAAGCAACAGTTTCAGACTTTATAATTGCACTTCCGCAAGGACAACTTACTGTCTTCTGTTGACTTCTTCTCTGCCAAGTATCTATGCCGATTACCAAGTTAAAAGATTCACGTGAACATTTATTGTTTGGCCAATCCCCCTTTTATGCTTCAAAGACGCATGTTTAGAACAGAATCAACCTGTTTAAGAATTGCCACTGCAGCTTCTCTTTGTCATTCTTTTTACTTCTGTTCCTCGCTTGTGGGAGTGGGACTTTTTTATTGCTCAACTTAATTCAATACTCCCTCCGTCCTGCTAAGATTGTCTCATTTACCTTTTCAGTCATACCCACTAAGATTGCCCCATACCCACTAAAATTTGGTAAAGTTTGTGTGGCTCTAAATCATTCTTACTTTATTCTTACTTTATCAATTCAATAGCAACCACATAAACCACGTTTTATTGGTTTGCGTGCCGCTCCCTCTTGTCCCATTGTTAGTGGGATAGAGGGAGTAATATAGTAGAGCTCTCTGCATTACCTCTGAAATACTTTCATTTAGTTATTTATGCTGCGGTGTTTATTGGAATGATGACCTAGCTTTCATGGAAAAGTGCTTAGCAACTTTAAACTAATACTTACTTTCGGATACTAATGTATAGGCGAGTTACAGAAGACGATTGCAGATTTGGAAGAGAATAATAGAAAATTGGCAATTCTAAAAGCAGAGAAAGAGGCCACAAAGGGGACATTCTTCCCAGCCCTGAACGTTGTTAATAAACATGTAGCTGGTGACAAAGTCAAGGATAAACAGAAAGATATAAAAGACATGGAGTCAACCCTAAAAGAGTTGTTGGTAGTAAATTAATAATGAATAGTTCATCTCTTGTTTTTTGGTTGACCGGATTGTGTTTGTTAAATCAACTGACTTGAGCTTGCGAACAGGACCAGTCATCTTTTCGGCTATTTGAACTCAATCATCTTCACCAAGAAAGGATTGAAATATTGAAGGAATTGTGTAATTTGCAGGTAAACTGTTCATCTCTGGGAGTGCTTCATTTCTCATCCATGTAGTGGCTAATCGGATATTGTCTTTTACAGAACATGTTAAAGAATGTGAAGACCATATGCTCTAGTCATGCTTATGTCATGGTTAAAGAGCAACTTTTGAAGGCTAAGGCAGATTTAGTTCAGTATCAATCAATGTATAATAAAATACAGGTACCATGGGATGCTCTTCTCATATGTGCATTTTTTCCTGTTTAAACTTTCATTTACTGGCAACTTATTTGTTACTAAAATATATAGGTTGAGAAGGACAATCTCTCTTGGAAAGAAAAAGAGATGAGTTTGAAAAATGATATACTTGATGCTTTGCATCGATCCTCAGCAGTTGGTGATTCCAGAATTAAAGAGATTGAAATGGAGATACAGAAACACAAACATGAAAGAAGTCTAATTGAGGCAAGACTGGAAGAAGCAACTAGAGAACCTGGTATTACATCAACTTTAAGATGTTTGATGTATTTTTTGAATTTGTTGGTGATGTTCCGAATGCTGACTTGATACTGTGTTTCTTTCAGGCAGGAAAGAAATCATTTCCGAATTTAGAACTTTGGTTTCTTCATTTCCAGAAGAAATGGGTAGCATGCAGAATCAATTAAGCAAATACAAAGAAACTGCTGCAAATGTACATTATTTGCGTGCTGATGTTCAGTCTCTTTCCAATATTCTTAACCAGAAGGTTGGCTGATATGTTTCTTTCTCCCATTTTTTATATTAAGATTTAGTAGGTTGAAGTATTTCTTTGATGTATTTTTCAGGTTAGCGAGTTGGACAAATTATCCACTCTTTCTGCTGCCCAGGAAATTGAAATGCTGAAGTTGCGGGCTGTTGTATGATTTGTTTCTGCTACTTCTATTAGAGACTTTTATTCGATATAATATCTTTGAATTTATTCTTTTTATATTACAGGTATTATATATGTATGGTTCGTATGGCTCCTAAAACCAAATTGATATTAACACATATTGAAATTTAGAAAATTTCTTTTTATTGAGGCATGCAACTCCCAAACACAATTTTTGCCTAAAATGATTAGAAAGTTGATGACCTTTTTTCTCAAGGATTCGAATAGGAGTGAGCATCATTACTACATATTGGACTAATGGAGTTTGCTGCAAGTTATCCTGAATGCAGTAAAATTTCTATGTTTCATACAATGATACAAATAGTGTAACGCCCCTCTCAGGGTTAAAGGGTTACACCAAATTTTACTTTAAAAAACTGCAATATTACGGTCATTTACTTTATTAATAACCCTGCTAAAAACTCATGAAGTAACTAAAATTACTCCAAATAAAACTTCATAAAATCTAGTTATCACAAACAAATGTGATATACTGATAACCACTTGTATCCAGGAATTTACTCAACTTCAAACAAATCAAATAAATACTCCAACAAATTTAAATAATAACAATCACTTTATTGTGAAACTGAAATACTTAAATAAAACAATAACTATAAATCGCCAACGTCGTTCTTGTTAACTCATTTTGGCACGCGTTCCACTCCCTGACCTTGGCCTTACTCTTTGTATCCGTATATGTGAATAAAGAAAATTGATAAGCTTCACACTTGGTAAGTCACTATGAATCCACAAAGTATCTGGGAAGTCTATGCTAATTTATCAATAGATAAAATTAGCCTATAATCATGCTTAACTTCTCAAAAGAATACTTTCTAAAATAATTTCTTGAAAATTGCTGAAGAGATCTCAAAAATTCTTGCTGAAAAAACTCTAAAGTAGCTTCTGAAGAGATCTCATAATACTTTTAAAAAGATTTCTGTAAAACTTTCTGAAAGAAATCGTAGGTGAAAGAGATCTCATTAAACTGTCTGTAAAACTTTTTGAAAGAGATCTCATTAAACTTTCCGTTAAACTTTCTGAAAAAGATCTCTGTAAACTTTTTTGTAATCCATTCTGAAACAGATCTCATTAAACTTTATGTGGCTAATTTTAACTTTGGGCCTGTCAGCCCGTGATATGTACTCAATGGTGCCATTCCGACAGCTCATGGGAGCGACTCATTAAACATATTGGAGCGACCCAGTACATATCACCTTATCTTTTGCTTTAAATATTAATTCTTTTTATGATGACGTATAATTCAAGACATTTCTAAAATATTAAAATAAAATAATTTGACTGTCTTGACTATGCCAGGTAACAGAGTACCTCAAATATAACGAATAAACGGCTTATCATGTAATTCAACAAGCTCACATAATAAAAGCATATAGTCTAAAATCATCTATTAAAAATCAACCACCCTCTTTCTTTCTTTCTTTCTTTCTTTCTTTTGGTTGAACTAACACGTAGAGTTGGCAGTGAAGTTTATTTATTTATTTATTTATGTATTTATTTATTTACTTATTTATTTATTTATTTATTTATTTATTTATTTATTTATTTATTTATTTATTTATTTATTTATTTCACTTGCATGAAGCATTGAGCTCTGAATTGATTGGAATAGGTTCAAGATTTGAAGAAGAGTGATATGGAATTGAATCTTTTTCTAGAAATGTTCAGGCTTGAATCCCCCTTTTCCAGGTGTAGTACTCTATATACTGTAAAAGTAATACTACATATATTTTAGTATTTCATTTACTGTACTGCATTTTCTAGGGCTAGACTGGAGTAGATTAGAATACCAATAGGCGAAGAAAAACAAAGATCGTGGGAGTTGGTATGCTATATATTACTGCTCAACAAATGTTATAAAAGATATCATATCTTTCTGAGCATGCTAATTTGAGAAGCATTAGAGTGTAGAATTCATAATATTTGATTGTTACTCCAGGAAACCCTAGATTCATAATGGGGAAGGACTACATGTAGATTTTGTGCATATAAGTAGTGCATAATATTTGCACTTAATCAAGCAATGCAATATTCTATTTTAACGTGGTACCAGAGTCTTAGAGATTCTGTGTAGTGAACTAGGGTTGCTAACTAAAACAAATAGTCCATCAACTCTTGAGTCATGATCATGATTTACAGTATCAACTAGACAACCATTAAGACGGTAGTTTTCACTACATCTGATGGGATCAGCAAGTCTTCTCGTACACTCGTACAAGAGGTTGCCACTTCAGTGCGAACATAAGGACCCTCTTTTAGATACTTTTTTTCTACACATTAGTTTTGAAAATTCTCTTGAAAGCTATGGGTTTCATTACTTTCCGCTATTGGAGGATTGTTCTATTCATAGAATAAACAATCATTTGTGCATATGTTTATGTTACACTATGGTAGTAACTGACTTTAATAGATATACGACAGACTAAAAATAGTCTGACTAAAGACCGCATTTTGAAATGAGTTGCACTAAAATCCGTCAGACTAAAAGTCTAGACCTAATTTTGTTGACTTAAATCAGGTTGGGTAAACCCAGACGAGTTGCAACTTTCATTCCTTGGGAGTTATATATGGACATCATATGAGATTATTCTTTCACTTCTTCCATTAAAGAAATAGGTACTGGAACTCTGGAAGTTATAACCAAATGACAGATTGTAACTTGCGATAAAGAATTCTGTAATGGATATTATCAGCTATATGCACATACATGTAATGTCATCATGGAAGTTATTTTCTTGTGTGATCTATTTAAGTAAGTGATTGCAACACTTGATTGCAGTAGATTGAATCTACTTCTCTAGGTGCATAAGAAAAGCTGTTCCTCTAAATACTCATCATTCATGTGAACTGATTCTGTGATTCAGAATAGCAATCTAAGTCAAAAGTTCATACTATATGTTAAAACCTGTTGCTAGGTTGTATTCATAAAAGTTTCTAGTAAATCTAAATCATCCATTCAAGCCCTTTATATGTTTCATTCAATTCCCTAAAATCCTATACGTCACCAAGTCAAGTTTTATCTAACATTATCTACATGACTAAATATAATTAAGGCATTGCACGTATATCATATAAATATACTAAATGAAAGCATTTGTTTATGCATAACAAAAGTAAAGAACCAGAGTCAAGAATGTTGATTTGGGAATGCAGGGATGTTCTTGAAGCTAGGGACTCTGAGTACAAGGCTTGGGCTTCTGTTCAGAGATTGAAAACTTCTCTTGATGAGCACAATTTGGAATCTCGAGTAAAAACTGCAATTGAAGCTGAGGCTGAATCTCAACAAAAGCTAGCTGCCACTGAAGCTGAGATTGCTGAGCTCAGACAGAAGTTGGAGGCTTCTAAAAGGTAGTCTCAAACTTGCTCAAATTGATGATTGTCAGATAATTTTGAAAATTAGATAAATGATACCATTCAAGCTTCATTCAGCATTTCAGCTTTATTGTTACTTAAACAAATGCCACCTTATTCAGTTGGCTACTCCTTTTTTTTGGGGGCTCTTTTCTTTCCCTATTGTGAAGGGTGTGTTCTCTTTTAGTAGACAAATTTCTAATATCCTTCTCAAATTTCCAGAAACTAGTGTAAATAGAAATTTACCAGAAATTGATTAAGCTTTCTTTGCATTTAATCATGGCTAGGCCTTCATTTGCAACTTTAAAATCCAATCTAGCATGGTTTGGCCATAATGAACAAGCATGATCTTGTTAATGTTTCTTAATGCATGAAAACTGTGTAGGTGATGCATTCTTCTCTCGGATTCATTGATGGAACCCTGGTTTTGTTAATAAATTGCCGAGTGTAAAGAGATTATTGAATTTATATTGTTAAGTTTATTACAAATTTATAATGAACTCTTTTGTGATTAAGGCTTGGATGTTGTTGTTGTTGTTTTGTTGCTTGTTTATATATGCATGCCTATGAACAAACATGCGGTAGGAAGTAGTTAGTTGATCCTTATATCAGCCACTAAAGCACTTTGAAGATTGGCTTAGAACATGCAATTTATATCCTGTTGGTAGAAGCTGTTCATAAAGATTACCCTCTGTTTTTTTTGCTTCAGGGAAAAATCCAGAATTTCTGAAGCGTTGAGATCAAAACATGAGGAGACTGAGGCCTACCTGTCTGAAATTGAGGTCTCACTTTTCTAATTTTGTTTTTTCCAATTTTCTTAACTATATAACAAGGCTATTTTTGTAGTTATATTTATTGGTGTTGTGAAGTAAACCAAAACTTATTGTGGATCAGACTATTGGGCAAGCCTATGATGATATGCAAACTCAAAATCAACAACTTTTGCAGCAGATAACTGAGAGGGATGACTATAACATTAAGGTAACAGTATCATCGGCCAAATTAGCATATTCTAAGTATCGTGTAATTGACATTTTCAGTCCTTAAACTTTGACTTTATCATGAAAAGTACAGGACTAAAAAATCTACTGCATTTAAAAAATCTACTCAAAATTCTACTCCATATGAAAATTCTATTTTATATGGATTTTTTTGCTATTTTATATGCAGTAGAATTTTAAAAAAACTTATAGAATAGTCATATTTAAATATCATTTCATTTTCATTTACCCCAGTGCCGCAAAGGCTCCCACCTACGGTGGGGTAAGGGGGGGGTCGGATGTACGCAGTCTTACCCCTACACTAAAGCATAGAGAGACTGTTTCCGTATGACCCATAGTGAAAATCGCGTGCAAAATTGCATGGACTGACCGCTGCTCCATAACAAAGAAGCGCAGACAGTGTAGTGAGCCATTTTGCTTTATTTAAATATGAATACTAAAAATAAATAAATTTACATGTGTGTGCTCGACTAACCAATTTAAAAAAACTTATAGAATAGTCATATTTAAAATAAATACTACTGCAGTCCTCGACTTTAGAATTCCCAATATTTCATAATAGCATTTGTCTGCTAGCTAAAAAAAGGTCTATTGAATCAGCAAATTAATACTAGCACATTTTGTTAACTTTTTAACTAACCACTTTCATTATCAGTTTGAAACAAAATGTTAGTAACTTAACTGTTTGCGATTAACTGTTACGTAAAATGACCATTAAAAATATGAATCTATAAGTATATAACTTAACTTTATTTTTTTTTATTTTTAATAAGTCTTGAAAAATGATATAAAAATTATATTTACGTTTATTTTAAATAACTACGACCACTATCATTTTTAACATATGTGCATTAACGCGAGCACACACGTATGAAATTGGTTAGTCGAGCACACACATATAAATTTATTTATTTTTAGTATTAATATTTTAAATATGACTAATCTATAATTTTTTTTAAAATTCTACTGCATATAAAATAGCAAAAATATTCCATATAAAATATAATTTTCATATGGAATAGAATTTTTGAGTAGATTTTTTAAATGCAGTAGATTTTTTAGTCCCGTACTTTTAATGACAAAATCAAAGTTGAAGGACTAAAATGTCAATTTCACAATACTTAGAATATGAATACCGGGAATTCTAAAGTCGAGGGCAAAAAATGTCCCACTCACAAAAATGATCAATCTGTCACTTCGGCTTCTTTTTTTTACCAATTTGTCTCGGGAGTTTTTTTTACCAACTTGGTAAAACACCTTGTTTTTTACCAATCTGGTAATTTGGCCCAGTATCATCTGGTGTTCCCTCTTTATATAATGATTCAAGCTTTTATCATCCTTCAGGTTGAGCAATTGAAGTAGATACTGATAAATGTATTATAGATGGTTTATGATTTACTCTGTACAATTACAATCTACTCTTTTTTTAGATCAATTGATTTCAATAATCCCTTACCCCACCGTAGGTGGGAGCCTTTGCGGCGCTGGGGTAATGTTGTTGTAATGGATTTCAATAATCATCGACTACGTGTATGCCGTAGGTGCATCGTGCATAATGATTATGTAGATAGATGATAGTTTTTCATTGTGTGAATGTACATATTAATTCACATTATATCTCCCAAGCTAGTTGGTGATATAAATTCTAGTACCATAATGTAGTAACTCCTCTCTCTGTAGCTTGTTATGGAGGGAATTAAGGCAAGACAGCAGCAGAGTTCTTTAACGTTAGAAAACCAGTCACTGGAGAAAGCAATTCAAGAAACCAAAGCAACTTGCAGCTTCTATGAGCTGAAAGCTGCCAAAATCGATGACCAGGTATATATCTCAACTCATCATGACCTTGTGATATTTTACCATGTTAGCTCAATTGTAGAATGCGACCTCTTTTAAGCACAAAGTGCAGGCGAGCACCAATGGAGAGCTTCCGTGCTAACCCTCGATTTTGAGCAGTCAACATAAGTCAAGTTGTTTTAATAGTTAAAACTGCATTTTTAGTGGTTTGACGTTTACCATTTGCCTCTCTGTTGCCTCTGCAAATCAACTGCTTGAAACAGCTGGCTGCCGCTCACTCTGAAAGTTGGTGCCATTGTAGTATGAAAGTTGGACAGTTTCTTCTGCAGTTTTCTTCTGTTTTATGTGTAGCAGTGGGGTGACTAAAAACATTATTTTCTTCCCATGGAAATATGGGATGTCGTTTTACAGTGGGTCTATATGGGGGCAGTAGGTTTTTGCATTTTTATTTTTTCCTTATGCATTTCAAACTTGCAGTTGGGTAGCAGATCTTTATACTCGTAATTCTTTTCTTCGAATGCATGCATACTCCTTTTGTTATTTCAAAAAATAAAAATGTATCATTGGGGTCTAAATATGCCTTAATCTGTCTGGCGGCTGTGACTGTGGGACAATAGTTATTTTGTATTCTCGCCTGTCCTATGCTCCTGTGCATGGTAGATTAAGTTTCTTTATATTCTCTCTTTAGAATTCAGGAATGATGAGTTTATTTATTTTTAGAAGGTATTAGTTGTCATCATCATCTCTGCCAGAAAAACGATGATGTAGTCATCCCACTGGAAACATCGCTTAATTGGCCATCTGTTTTTAATTACCGACAGGCAAAGTCGGGGCACCAGGTGGTTAACCCGATTAATGGAACATGGTTGGGAATTTGGGATTAAGGTGATGATGAGGACTTTATAAATAGTTCTATATTTGAATTACAGTTAAGAGCATGCTCAGACCAAGTCCATAGACTCGGAGAGGATAGAGTTCAAACTAGAGCTACTCTGGAAAGCACCAATAAGAGATTAATAGATGTGAAAAAAGCATCCCAGCAGCAACGAGAGGCGCTTGAAGAACTACAGACCAAGGTTGATAAAAGTCGAGTGCATCTATCTGATCTGCAGATAGATCTAGAGAAAGAAAGGTAATTCGAGATTTAATTAGTTTCTTCACATCCCTTTGTGGTTTACTATATAGTTCGCAGACTCGCAGTATTGACAACCCAACAGGGTTCAGGATCAGGTTGGGGTTACTAAATTGGGCCATAAGGTTCTTGGACTAGTCACCAAACCCCACACTAAAAAATTGACCAATCTGTTAGCTAGTTCAGCCTATATTCTTGTTTACCAATCATTCTCTTTAAATTTCCAATGTGTGATCTTATCAAAAGTGTCCGGAAGAAAATATCTGAGCTAAATTCAAGAGACTTATACAAGAGATATCTAGCAAGAAGTGCTACGCATCATATTAAGCTCTCAATATTCACTTTTAATCACATGTTAGAGCTTAATCAGTTGGAGGTTTAGACACATCTTTGATCTTAACAAAAGAGCAAACCCAAGGAGGCTTTGTGGTCAAAATTTGAATGTTAGATAGAAGGTAATAGTAACTTAGAGTGAGGTGTACTCTTTGTGAAACCCCATTCAGGTCTGGGCTGGCATTGGTGATCAAAGCTGAATCTGATACCAAGTGTAAAGTCAATCAGACCTGACTTTTCTTTCCTTTCTGTTCATAATTCTGTTTAATAACCAGGTTTGAAAGAAAAAGGGCAGAAGAGGATGTAGAAGCTCTTAGGAGAAAGACAACACGTCTAAGGTCACAAATTGAGGGATCATCTGAAATCGAAAAGCATCGGCAGACACTAACGGAGTACAAAGAAATACTCAACTGTGGTGTGTGTCATGACAGGCGAAAGGAGGTTGGTTATTCCTAGTATACAAGAATTGAATGAGACGTTGATGATATTTTTTATTTCATCCATCTGCATATGTAGCACTTTCTATAATCTAACCCCTAATTTGGTTTCAGGTTGTCATCACAAAATGCTACCATTTGTTCTGCAATCCTTGCATCCTAAAAGTTATCGAATCACGTCATCGTAAATGCCCATTTTGTGGTGCAAGCTTTGCGGCTACTGATGTGAAGCCTGTTTACATATGATAGCTAGATTTTGCTGCATGTGATCCCTCTTTGCCAAAGATTATGGACTTGGTAGGATATGCACTTAACGTTTTTATGCACAGTATAACTTGTTATGAGAGGCATTAGGTGAGCATTAATGCATTGGGGACGTAAGGTCATTTTGGACGTAGGTTTTTAGCTTTGAGGGGTAAGGTCTTTATAAAATACAAAGAGTAACATAATGAGTAACCATATATCTTCATCATTTCAATAAACTTTTTGTTTGTAAAAACGTTTTATATATCATAATATCAAGATATTGACCAAGTGCCCCAAACCCCACAGCCTTTCCTTACAGATCCCTCTATCTAAAAAGACCCTTGAGGTCTCTGCATGCATGCATGTACTGATTTAATACTAGTAATAATATCATGAAATAATTACATATGAGTTGCAAAAATGTGACTTTTGAAGTGTAGTTGTGTAGTGATCACATTAGTAACTTTGGTTATAGTAACTTATGTTTAATATTTACACTTAAGTAACTATGAGACTATATTATACGTAGTAGCAATTATTAGTCATAGTTGTGTAAGATAAAATTTTGTTTCGATTTTCCAAAAACACATTTACTTATGTTAAATGGAATAAAAAGTAGGCAAAAAGTTAATGTTGTGGTTTTCCTATAAGAAGGTTTCTTTTATACGGAGTATAAATAGAAATTTCATTTTGAGATATTTAAATAGTGAAAGTGAATATCACCAAATTTAAAAATATTTTGGAGGGCCCATGAGGCCATGACCCCTTCAGGCTCCACCTTGGTGCTCCACCATTGTCAAACTTTAAAAGAAAAAGGTATGTAACTTTTTTTTTACTTTTGCGATACATTTTACTTCGAGATCAATAATGAAAAGGTTAAATATTGCAATATGCAACATTAAATTAGTTGATACACCTGGTCAAGAGAGGACTATAGCCTTCATTCTTTGTTCCTTTTGTCAATGTATTTCTCAAGTTTCAAGTATGGAACTTGAATGTACTTCTGCCTTGCAAAATTATTATCACATTTTACAATGTACTTGTATCTATAGTTTTGACTTGGATAAGCTTAAAAGTAAAAATTATTAGTCCTACTTCGCTTGTATGTTTCAATTTTTTAAATCATTCAAATATATTACGCATTATTATATACTTCCTTTGTCCCAATTTACTCAGTCATCTTTGACTTTTCAAGTCAAAGGTGGTAAACTTTGATCAATTATTTAAACTAATATATTTATGCAAAATTTAATAATTTTATACATTATGATAGTATTTTTTACAAAGAACATTTTCATATCATTTTCTTATTATTAATACTTTCTCTATATAAACATATAATCGGTCAAAGATAGACGTCATTGACTTGAAAAGTCAAGTTTGCTAACTAAAATGGGACAGATGGAGTATAAAGAAAACCGTTTAGAGAATTACAACAATTTCAAAGGAACTATTATTTTATCGAAAAGCAATTGATTTTTTTTTGTCGGGTTCTACTCCTACAACCAATGAAGTTATGAGCCTCAACATTTTTATAGGCGTCCTATATTTATCATATTGAACTTGTTTGGTATTGTGTTTAGACACATTATTTGGAAAATTGTCTTTCTGGAACCATATAGGATTCTTTGATAAAATATGTTTCAACTCGGACTCTTTTAATGAAATAAATGCAAGTATTATTATAGAATGAAACATTCACACGTTATGAATGATCTACTCTTGAAAAATTTGTGTAAAAGTTGTTTAGAGTAATTAGATATTTGCAAGATTTTACCAGGATTTTAGCTAAACATAAAAGTTGATTTTTAAAACTAGAGCTAACTTTAAAAAATAAATATTTAATGAAACATAACTTTTTTGTACCCAACTTTTCCAAAATTATGGTATTAGGCACAACTGCACAAGCCTCATAATGGAGGTGAAACACAACTATTATAGATAGTACACAAGCATAATGTAAATAGAACTACACAAGAAGAAGAGTGCTAGCTCATAAATAAATAAAAAATGGAGCTGTACAATTAGGTATTCTTACATGTTAGTACACAAGCATACTGTAAATAGAACTACACAAGAAGAAGAGTGCTAGCTCATATATAAATAAAAAATGGAGTTGTACAATTAGGTATTCTTACATGTTAGTGGGGACTCACTATTACCAGACCGTACTAGAGATGGATCAGGACCAGATCGGGCCGGGATTGGGGTTTTAGAATGAAAGTTCGATACTGGCCTGGGTTGGTTCCGGGACTGGGCCGGGACCGGGTCGGGTCTAAGTTTATTTTTTTTTTTAATTTTGTTTTTTCTGATTTATTCCTACCCCCACCCCCAACCCTCCCAAACCACCTAGCCCCACCTGTCTAACAGCCAATGAATACGAAAAAATCAAAAAAAGTTATTTGGGGATTGGTCCGCCATATATGCATCCCGTAAGGCTGTTAATCTCTCCGACGAATAGCTGACGACTCCACTTTTTCCTTTCCTCCACAGTGTCTCCTCCCAGAGGTCCACCATAGATCTGGTTTACATGTGGGCATTTTTGTCGGCCTGAATCTTCCCTTTCCTCGTCATCCTCGAACTAGGCTCCGACCTCCCTCTTCTTAGAGGTTAAGGTCGGTTCGTATTTTCCCCTGCTCCAGGTATTCCTCTTTTGAGGGGCCTGTCCATGCCGGCTCTTCTTCACGAACTAGTCCAACTGTCCTTCACAAATGAGCCTTTCCACGTACTTCTTAAGTGCATAACAATCGTCAGTTTCGTGAGTATCACTCTTGTGGAGTTTGCAATACTTACCTCAAGTGGCCTGGTTGTTGACAACGTTGCACTTCTCAAGGATCGTTATCAAACCTTGTTTGGCCGCATAATCTAGGACAATGCTGACTGGATGTGTCAGAGGTGAAAACTCTGGTTGGGCGAATAAAGGTCCATCGAGGATACTCGATTTGTTCTTTCCCCAGCCTTTCTTCTTTCTTTTGGATCCACTCACTTTGTCTTGGTCGTGGGCTTCCTTCTCTGAACCTTTTTCTTTCCATCTTCAGGTTGGTGCTTTCTATCCTCCCCTTCTCTCTTCTGCTTTTCAGCCTCTTCCACCTCGGCCTGCGCGTCATCTCGTCGCAAGGCCTCCTCGTGTGAGGTCGGGGGACGCTGTACAAACTCCTTATATACAGCTCACCCGACCTCAGGGCATTGGTAGGAATGGTGACGGCGGATCTGTCATCCAAGCCGTCCACCTTCACCATTTCATCCCTCCAACGAGCTAGGAAGGCGACTAAACTCTCCTAGCGTCCTTGTTTGACTCCTAGGAGGTGAGAGAAGTTCTTCTTAGAATCTTTGGAGCTGGCAAATCGTGCTATGAACGCTTGGCCTAACTCCCGGAAACTCTTGATCCTCCCGTCAGGTAGGGAATCATACTATTCCCGGGTTGGCCCGTCTAATGTTACTGAGAATCCTCTGCACCTGATTGCATTGTTATATCCCATCATCACCATGTAGCCATGTACGTAGAGACATGATGTTGGGGGTCGGTCTTCCCCCGGTAAGCCTCAATGTTACAAGGCTTATACCCTTGTGGTAGCGGGGCATCCGCAATCTGGCGGATGAACGGCTCGGGAATCCTCACATTATGGTTGAGATTAACTCGACCATCCACCGCCCTCCTGAGCTCGTCCAGCCTCCTCCTAAGGTCGTTGTCATCATGGCCTGTCCGGGCATGGGGTGGGGAAGGGCAATCTCCGCGGGCCTGCCGATTTGCATTAATCTCATTCCGGAGATCTACTCCATGCGCACTGCGACGGTGGGATGAGACAGCCGCGGAGGACGCCTCCTCACTTTGTTCCGCCCGGGAGGAGAGCCTGTCATACACAGAGATCCTTCGTCCCCCAATCCTATTCATCATCAAGGTTCTTAAGGACTGCCTGTAATGATGAGATCGCTAAGACCTCGCCGGTGAAGAATTCCTTTGCCGCCGTGCAGGCATCTCCTCGTTCCATGGGGGATCGGATGGAGTCCGACGTGGGGACGAAGGTCTTTCATTGGTATTGGGAATGATTCCTTGGAAGGCAGTGGTTAATATCTCCACGACCCTTTGGAACATAGCCAAACTCGCCAAAGCCTGTGCTGGATCTACGTTGGGAATGAGGTTCCCGGTGGCCGGCGTTTGGAACTGTGGCGGACGCGTTGTTGGACGCCTGGAATTCCCAACGCCTTGAAATTGGTTCATCAAGTCACCCTGAGTCACCACGTTATCGTTTCTCCTCCGGAAATCGCTTCGCCGTGACCTGGATCCTTCGTCCTCGATCACGACGTGATCAAAACGCGCACCGCCTTGATTGCTACCAACACGACTGTGGCTGTGTGATCCAACCATCGTCACCGTAGATCGTTCTCTCAACGAGAGCACCAAATGATGGAGTTTAATCCAACTATGAGAGCTATATCTACGAAAACAGATGAAATTTAGGTAGCGTAAGACAATATTATTAATCCGGAATTCGGTCCTTTTGTAGGATGTACATATGAAGTATTATAGACTCTAAGTACTAGTATTCTAGGAGGAAACTGATACATTATAGACCCTAAGAGTCTGGTAATGTCTTGGCCGTTGTGAAATGATTGCTTCCCTTAGGTCCACGTTCCTTTCCTTATTCCTGCCTACTGCCAGATAGCTAATGCATAAATGATAGCCTGCCACATAAGCCCTAGGAAGAGCCCGACATCACTAGAACTCCGCCCAAGCTCGAGGTCTGCTGTCCAGCTCGGCCTGGTTGTGGGTTCCTTTCGTGAGTCTAATTCCTATTAGACCCAACAGCTATCCAGTATTAATCCCGTTTATGGCCTAATCCCGTTGAGGGTTGATCCCGTTTATGGGCTTTTATTATAATTCCATATTTGGGTCATGGCTGTAGTCCATGGTACCATTATTTTGTTTTGATTTTCCAAGAACACATTTTCTTATGTTAAATCGAATAAAAAGTAGGCAAAAAGTTAATGTTGTGGTTTTCCTATAAGAAGATTTCTTTTATATAAATAGAAATTTCATTTTGAGATATTTAAATAGTGAAAGTGAGAACTTTTCAGAATCAAAAGAATATCACCAAATTTTAAAATTATTTGGAGGGCCCATGGCCCCTCCAGGCTCCAACTTGGTGCTCTACGATTGTCAAACTGCTCATACTTTTGCGATACATTTTGCTGCGAGATCAATAATGAAAAGGTCAAATATTGCAATATGCAACATTAAATTAGTTGATACACCTGGCCAAGAGAGGACTATAGCCTGCATTTTGTTCCTTTTG